AAGCCATGTTAGAACAAGCTTGTTCCGAGAACGGCGGTTGCTGCTGACCGCCTGGTCGAGCTGTGCCAGGGTGGAAGTTGGGCGTCACCGAGCGCTCCCAAACCTTTTCTCTCCCCAGTACGAAGTCGCGATCGCCACAGAGAAGGGCGTGGAGGTGGAGGGACCCCTGACCCTGGAGGCCAACTGGGACATCGCCCACCTCGTCAGGTAACGCCCGCGGGGCTACGCGCACCCGGAGCTCGCGGTCGGCGCCGTGGCAGCCCAGCAAAGCCTGAAGGCACGAAATGAAGGGGTTAATCGAGGCCGGGTGCCGCGCAGCCGTTGCAGGGCGATGCTGCTGCCGCGCGCTTCAGTCGGAGTCTCCGTGCTCCCCTCTGCAGCCGCACTCTGCGCTCCATGAGCAGCTTTGGGCTCCGCGCTCTGCCCGGTGGCCCGGAGCTGGTTCCTTTGGGAACGGCAAAGCCGTTTCCGGACGCAGCGTCCGCTCCGTGGCATTTGCGCTGCCTCAGAACTGACCTGCCGCGGCTGATAAAGCGAAAATGGTGATTTTGTTAGAGCAGATTTGACCGCGCCGGGTCGTGCGTTATCCTGATGGTATCGAAATTTCTTCTTGCAGCGGCTTCGAAAAAAGATCCCGAGGAGCCGTTCCCTGCTGGCGTGTCCGCGGTGTCGTTCCCGGCTGGCGTGTCCGCGGTGCCGCCCTTTCTGCCCGCTGCAATCCGGTCCTCCCTTCGACGCGCGGGTCCGACTTGTGTTGGAAATGAAATAAACCCGTTAAGACCGTCCCGTGTGTGTGGCAGGGTTGGGGTCGAGTTTGTGGGACATTCCAGGAATAACCGACTTCAGGAAGTCTCTGGTTTCAGGGAGTGAAGGTCACCAAGAGCCCCAAGTCCTTGTTTTTGCTGGAGAAGAGCAGCTCTGCCAGGCCCCATGATGGGGAAAAACTGGGAGGTAAAGTGTTTCCAGCCTCCAGAGCTGGGCAGGTCTCAGCCTTACACGAAATAAATTCTGAAATAACCCTAAGGTGGTATTTACTGCTACCCGAGATAAACAACAGTAAAAATAGTCATTCAGGAGAGTATTTTATTAATGATTTTCCAGACTTTTATTTAAAAAAAAAAAAAGAAAATCTCACTGGGGAGAGGAGGTTGTTCCACGGAACCTACCGGGTGGGCAAGGGGGGTGGGTTTGCAGAAATGGGACAGAACTGCCTCAAGTGTTAACGACGTGTAAACACAGTAATGACCGGCCCGGCTCCGGGATCCGTCGGGACATGCTCAGGGAGTCGGGGTGCACAGTGGGATCCTGTCCTGTGCCCGGGCACGGCTCCGCGCCGCGGCACGCCGGCTCCGGGGAACCCGGGACACGCTTTACGTTCAGCCTTAACGATATCGCAAGAGTTAAATAGTTCTTGGTAATAAAAACGCGTGTTTATAAATCCATTTCCCTGTTTTATTAAATGTTCCACTTCTGTACACTTTAAAGATGAACCATTTACAGGTCTGCACATGCTGCCTCCTGCGTTCCCTCGGTAACGGGGCAGGTTCACAAAACCTCTATGGAAACAGAAAGGTGCAGGTGCTTCTGGAGTCTGTATGTCAAAACGCTTCCGTTTATACCGCAATACATACAATTAAAAAACCCTCAAACATGCAAATTGTAGAAAAATTTAAGCTGGCAGTGAAAAATAAAAACAAACGTCTTCTTTTTGTGCACGTCACAGTTTGTTTCGTTAAATCAGGTTTCTAATTCTAAGGAACGTAGTGTCTGACGCCGCCGATGAAGCCGGTTTATCAGCTACGAGGAGTTACAAGGTCGACGTCTAACGGTCCGGACGGTCCCGGCTCCCCTCTCCTGCACGGGAAGATCAAGACAGACTTGACTTTCCTCGTCCACCACGTACCCTCTGTCAGTAATTCTTTGGAGCGAGGTGGGTGCCGGCGGTGGGGAGGGACCCCCGCACCGTGCCCGGGGCCGCCAGCGCCGCCCTCGCTCCCCGAGCGCGGATCTCGCTCCGAGCCCCGGTCAAAGCGCTGCTGGCACTGAACAGGCAAAATGTTTTCGCTTGTGTTTGCACCCCCCGTCCAAATTCACAAGCAAAATAATTCTTCTTCTTAAAGAAAAAAAAAAAAAAAAAAGGCAAACCAAACCCAAACCTTAATGGCCAATTATAGAAGGTTCACACATTAAAGCAGTAACTTGTATCTAAATTCTCCACAGAAACCTAAATCTCTGGGTCAAGTGTTAAAAAAAAAAAAATATCTCTGTTAAGACAACCAAGAAGATTTCTATACTGGTTCATTAGCTACATATGTTCTTCCTCTCTTCAGAAATGGTCACATTGACAATGTGTAATTCAAAACATTTCTGCACAATAAAAACAGAAAACTATGATACAGTGAGGTAAAGAAAACGCAAAAATATTCACCCACAATATATTTTCAGAAAATACCAACACAGTGATTTTCCTTTTAAAAAAGCACAAAACTTAGAAATGAACAGCATAAATGGCTATTTGTCTGAGTGATCGCCTACCAATTTCCTAAACCCACAAATCCACAGGGAAGTGTAATGGTCTCATCCAACATTTATTTAAAAAATAACCCTTTCTGGATCCCGCCTCGCAGATCAGTGCTCAGATTTCCATCAGATCCAAATCGGCATCTTCGAAGCCGTAGAACGATTCAGTCTCACTCTCCCCTTCGAAGAGCTGATGGAGGATTTCGGGGTCCGCAGCCTCCTCGGCCGCGGTCCGGTCCTGGGCCTCGGCCGCCGCCGCCTCCTGCTGCCCCTCGCTCAGCTTCAGCTGCTCCTCCAGCGCGGCGATCAGCTCCTCCTGCATGTCGGCGTTGCGCGTGGGCGAGTTGGCGGTGCCGTCCGGGCCGGGCAGCACGCTGGCCACCAGGAAGGACTGCTGCACGAGTTCCGGAGAGTCACTGATGACCTCCAGGACCTCCGCCAGCCAGCACAAAACCAGCTGGAGAAGAATGTCCGAGTCGCACGTGGAGTCCGCCATCTCCTTGGCTTGCTCTTTCCACTTTTTATGCAAGAAATTTTTCACAGTCCGTTTTATACAAACATCCAGAGGTTGGATTTTGGAGCTGCAGCCGGCGGGGACGACGGCCGGCAGGGTGCTGGAGGCGCTCAGCAAGGAGAGCACCTCCTCCGACAGGTGTGTGCGGTGGCAGTCCAGCACCAGCATGCCCTTGCTGTTCTGGCACTCCGTGTGCTTCTGCCACACTCTGGACAACCACAGCTCCATGATTTCGTCGTCGCTGTATCCGTTCTCCTTCGATTCCAACATGATCGATTCCGGCACGTTGGCGGGCTGCTGCACGTGACCCCTGTAGAAGACCAGCGTCGGGAGAACGCTTCCGTCGGCCAGGATGGTGAGGACCACGTCGCACCAGGGCTCCCCCGTTCCCACCGTCTGCAAAGCGTTCTCCTTCCGGTCGTCGCTGCTCAGCACCTCCACGTCGAGGAAGAGGGAGATTTCGTCAATGGCCGCGATCATGGAGAGAGGCAGGTCCTGAACTCGATGAAGCAGCTGGCGTTGTCCTCGACGTCCTTGGGGAGGGGGTGAGCCACCGCCCTCCGCGTGTAGGTGCTGAGGTTGTGCCGCAGCATGAACCTCACCGCCCACTCGTAGGAGATCTTGAAGCCGCCTTCCAGGGACCGGCCGATCTTGGTGGCTTTCTGGAAGAGAGTCTCCTCATTGACAGGCAGCTGCTGCTCCCTCTGCGTGAGGACCCACTCCGCCAGCTTCTCTTCAGCCTCCAAGCTGAGGTACTTGCCCTCCGACAGCGACGCCAAGTTCTCTTCCTGGAAAGCCTGGAACCTGCGCAGCCAGCGCTTGATCCGCCTCTGCGGGTTGCGGAAGTGCTCCGCAGCCTGCTCGGTGCTGCAGCACAGAGCGAACAGTACGACCCGCAGCTTTTTCACCGACCGCTGCTCCT